CTCACTCATCTTTATTTTTTTCACACAAACATCCACTTCACTCCATTTTGGCCTCATTTCTCATCTTGGTTTTTTTTAAACCCTCACAAATCCCAATGCACCGCACTGCCAGATGCATTCCCAACAACTGCAGTTGTGTGTAGTTTGAAGCTTTACATCAGCATCCCTGTGCTGTGAGAGATAAGGACGGATGGCTGAGTGTGAGTGTGTAAGTGTCACCTTGTGAGTAGACGCATTGTTTGGGCCTCCTCTGTCAGTGCTTTGCGCCTCCATCTCTCATGCTTGCATGCTTCAAACAAATGCTGCACTAACGCTTTGACTCAGTCCCTCGGACTTGATTTCAACTTCTTTATTTGTGCTCTTTTACAGACTCCTCTCAAGGGGCCTATGGCGGCCTTTTTAATGAAAAGTAGAGACAATCCTATGAAAGCTCTAGGCATGGTCGTTGTTGTTGTTAGCGTAATGGTGGGCGTGACTGTGTTGATCTCTACGGCTCTGTACATGCGCAACTCAAAGTCAAACAGGATCATGCCCGTGCGTCGCATCATCAAGAGGAGACCCAGAGAGCATCAGCCTTGGACCTTCTCAATGCCTGTTATTCGATTTAATAACCCTGCAGAGAAGTTCCTCATCAGCGATGCCGAGAGCAACTCCAGTGGTCCCAGGACGAGGCCTCCACCCCCCAGTGCTCCCTCTCTGCCTCCTCCACCTCCGTTTAACACACGTCCAAGTGAGAGACCCCGGGCGGTACCCACCATATCTGGTGCTCTGTCCTCCAAAGAGTCCAAAAAAGCAAAGTGCACGCGCCGTAAAGACGGAAACATGAGCTCTGCTTTAGTGTCTGAGCTGAAAATGAAGCTAGAGCAGAAAATCCACGAGAGTAACAAAGGTTATTATTAACTCTGACACACAAATATCTGATTTAAAGGTTCCCTGGTCCTGTCTTTCCCAAACTGTACCTTGAAGTTCATGTGATGATCTGGTAGGATCCGCCTGCATTTAGATCATTAATGGGCAGAGGGTTTGAGGGTTATAACAGGAATGTTTACAGATATTAAAGGCGACTTGCATGAGTATTAACCCCCCTGAACTTTTCCATATGTTTACATGTTACAACTGCAAATAAAAACTGATTTTATTGGGGTTGTAAGTAAGGGACCAACAGAAAACAATTCCAAATTTTGAAATAAGAAATAAGAAAGGAAGAATATAATGTGCATTTCAAAATGATCCACATCCATTCAAAAGGTCTAAATAAGTCTATTTGAATTTCAGGTTGTAACAGTAAAATGTGGGAAAGTTCAAATCTCATTAACATTTATTCAAAGGCGCTGTATGTCTCGAGGCAGACTGCTTTTCACTGGTTCAGAGATAAATCACTACACTGCCATCTTGAGGAAGATTACATCTTCTTAACAGTCAGAAGGGACACTGTACCTTCCCTGAGGAGAGGATTACTAAGATTTACTGTGCATAGGAACATGTTACATAACTTCCTGAAAAGTGTCAATATCAGGACCCTGTATGCTTTATTGTTTTTCGACACTGAACTCTGACCAGAGCTTGCAGCTGAAAAAAACGGTGATGAAAAACAAAACAACTCAGCTTCTTAAAAAGTGCTTAAAAAGAACCTGTGTGTGAATATTTTTACTGTGTTACATCAGCCACTTGAAAGCTGACCAGTTGCTCTTTTGTATGTGCCACTGTAGGTTTTCAAAGTAAAGCAAGATAAACTTAGGCTTATTTAAGTGTCTAGAGAAAAGCTTTTATGTACATAACATGGGTTCATTTTTAATGTACAGTATGGAGTAATTTATCATTATATTGAGTGTACATACAGTATGTGACAGGATATGGACAGGTATCCTGCAGCAGTAAATACAATGAAACACTTTAATGAAACTCTATAAAACTCCATGTAACTCCACCTGTGGGATGTTGTCGTTCAAAAAAAGGTCATATTAAGTTTTTCAAGCTCAGATCATCGTGTAAATAAATAAACATAATCTCTTCCTCTATCTATAGATGTAAAGACTCTGTGCTGAACATTTAGTCCACTACAGTGTTAACCTTCAAAGCCTTTAAATGAAGGCAAATAAAAGAAGTCATTGAATTGCTGTAAAAAAAATAATGTATCTGCCTGATTCTTTACTTACAAATATCTTCAACAAGTTCAGATAAACCATATATCTCAACTCTCCATTACACTTGCCTGTTCTTTCGCTATTTGTACCGTCTTTGTATCGTCTTGATTTTGAATAAATATTTGAAAATCGTTTGGTCTTTGCTCCATTTTGTCCAGAGGCCATTATAGAAGCAATTTATTTAGAACAGTTCATTGAGGTTGACTTTTAGTTTTCTTATTCATGTATATTATGTGTTTTTTTTTAGGAGAAACAAAGAATTGCAAAGATTGATAACGTGTTACTTTTAAAGCAAGCTTTCCTTTGATGCGGTAGCGATTCTAGAGTCTGTTGGGGCCCAAGGCAAACATTCACAAGGGGCCCCTCACAGTTCAGAGGACAAAATTATCTAATGTTTAACACGTAAGAAAATTTGGACAAAAGTAAGATTCTAAGAAGTTAGGAACAACCTAGCATGTTTTCCCAATGTTGTCTGTTACCTGAAGATACCAAACACCTTATTTCTTGGAAAAAAAAAAAACAGAAGATTAATCACAAGAAAAAAACGTATTGACTGGATTCATCCCTGAATGAATGTTTGTTTACAGTGGAGAGAGAGAGTCTTTAGAGGAGGTGTTGACAAACGCCTCTTCGTCTGTTTCAGCTGCTCCAATAGCTCAAGATAGCAGCTCTAAAAAAACCTACAAAACATTACTGTGCTCACACATTAGTACATCAATATAAAGATCTGAAAATTACAAATATTATCGGTCTATTTTTTTTTCTATTTTTGTGTTGTGATGGATATTTTTAGATTGTAATGTTTGTACTCCAAACAAAAAGAGCTGAGTACTTTGCTGCTTTAATATGAAATATGTAATACTAGATTACAAATGATATACTAATTTTAGTAATGAAGTTGATGTTAACATTTAAAAATAAATAAATTTTGCAGAATTAATGCAGTGATTCCTCCATGGGTGTGTACTTGTTAGGTAGGGGTTGTTTCTGTTTGTATAAATCCAATGAATAAATCGTGAAACAGACTGGAGATTATAACACCATTTAATCGGCCGAGGTCAGACAACTTCATCAAACAAGCATGCTTCCAAATCACTTGACTGACAAAGTGCTGACAAAGTAACAGTGTTCACAGTGCTGCTTATATTCTGTCAAAAAGGTGCAACTCACAAATTCCTTTCTATTTGGGTGCATCACCATAAACAATGAAGATGACATGATTTGTATACGTATCATATGTAGACTCTCTGTCTAGCAAACAGTTGCTGACAACATATAGTTGGCTCCTCTCCATATATAGATCTGCTACTACTTAGTTGCTTCACCCATATAAGGTTACAGCTTCAGACACCTAAAGGTAGGAGTGTTAACACGTGGTAGGCAGACTTGAATAATACATTTCACAAAGTTACCAAGATGAATGAATTTCATGAAAATTCGTACTAACAGTACTGACACATCAACTCTGTAATACTGGATCAACTTTTTCATGAATCATATTTAGATACACGTTGAGATTTGATTAGATCTGATAGCGAAAAACTGGATGAAACTGTACACATACAGTCTGTTTGCCTGTTGGAATAAAGCACAGACAGAGTGAGCGTGGAGCTGTCATTAAATGGAAATATCATGTCCTGCTCACTAGGATTCAGATGGAAAATCACTTTAATCTGCTTAAGGCTGTATGTATAAATGCTGGGGAAAACTCTGCTTATGTAACAAATCCTCTTTGTGATTGTGCTAAAAAAAAAATACACAGTGTGTCTCAGCATTTGTCTTTGACGTCCATTTAATCCAAATCATACATCATATCATTCAAATACAAGAGGGTCATTTCAGTCAAAAGAATAATGTTATTAAGAAAACATATTTTTGAAATGAAGTGGATTAAATACGCTTGAACAATGATTATTTTTTATACACTCGATTACAGTTTAATTCAGGCGAATAAACAATTAATATACACAACGTAAAAAAGACAAAATTACTTGGATTTACATCTTTTGGATTTAGGATCGCCTGTTTCTGCATTTAGTATCAAAATCTTTATTTTGTAATGACCCAAAGACGTGTGAAACATATTTTAGAAACAACAAAAAAAATTCACATAAGCAACTTACATGTTATGATAATAACAAATTGTCCTTATAATAAGGACGTCGAAACCACCACTTAGCGATGATAGCTTCAGATATATATTTACAGAAGGAGCCCCAGTTCAGTAGCATCTCGTGTGTCAGAGTATGGGTTCAAAACAAGTAACAGTAAACATCTGATTTTCTGGATACAAAGATAAATAAATAAAACTTGCCATCTATTAAAAAAAAGGCCAACAGTTTACAAAATTTCCTAAATTCTGAATGTTTTTTTCCCAAGTGTTTCTAGATATAAACAAAATCCGCATGAATAACAATAATTTACTCATTTTGCCAGCTGTGATTCCTCCCTTATCCAAAAAAAACAACCTGAAACAACATTAGTCCATCCTAAATGTGTACATTAAATGTAAAAAAAAAGACTGAAACTAGAAATTCACAACTGTTTAAGTTAATATTTTTCTTTTTACTCTAAACTTTGAACCAAAAAAAGGAGAGAAACCTGAAAAGGAAATAAGATCACTAAATAGGAATCTGTTTAAAATGTATTTTTCTTTTCTTTTGTCATTGAGATGCTCAGAAGAGTCGTCAATGTTTCTGAACATACTCTCAAAATGGCCATTAGTAGTGTAAAAAACATTTTTAGTTAAGGAAAGAGAGAAATTGGACATTGGAACTTAAACTCAAAGATAATACTTGAGCTCAAACCTGACATCTTTTACAAATACACATGCACACATTCCCAAGTACATATAAGCTAGTACATATAAGCAGCACTTCCTCCTTTCTCTCGCTTCCGTTTCGGCTTCTCCTCCAACTCCCTGCACAGGACTTCTTCACTGGTCGCCTGCAGGCTGTCAAAGGTTCCCTGCCTCTCCGTCCCAGGCTGGTTCTCTCTGTTTTCCTGTCTTCGCTTCATCCAAAGATCCATGCAGCGTTCCACGCAGGTGAACCTGATCTCTGTGGTGCAAGCATACATGCCGGCCGGCACAGCCAGCACCATGGCGCACACGATAACAATAATGTGTATAAGTCTCTTTCTTTGCTCCATCTCACTGATGTCATTTCCCGTCACGAACACGATGCATTCACCTTCCCTCGGCGGATGGTTTTTCAGGCTCACACACACCTCGTATTTGGTGACAGGAAGCAGGTTGCCAACGGAGTAGCTGTTGATGCCGGGGCCAATGTAGATCGTCTCCTTTTTGGGTGTATCATACTTGCCAAAGTGGATGGTGAACCATGTTTCCGCTGGGTTGTCCGTCTCTGCATGCCAATCCAGGGTGATACCGTAAATTGTCTGCTTTGCGATTCGGATTTCAATGAAGGTGTTATGATCAGATGACAACATGGGGGCGGGTGGAGGGAGAGGAAAGGAGGAGGGAGAGGAGCTGATGTCCACCATAATGCTGACAGAGGAGTTGCCAATGAAGTTGTTGGCCACGCAGGTGTAGAGTCCTCGCTCCGCAAGGTGAAGAGAGGGGATCACCAGCTGGGAGGTGACCGTCTCCTCGTCTACCTGGGTCTCTGTAACTAGAAAGACAAAACAGAGCAACAGATCAGAGGGAATTCTAGGAAAGAGTTTTTTGGCATCAAATTGAAATTGTAACATTCAGCCTTATTTCTGAATATGGGTACCTGCTGTTTGTTGTCAAAGTAGTACCCACTAGTAATTCAGCAGGAACTGGTAGTATGCAGGTCACATAACAGTCCGTGAAAAGGTAGAAATAGTCAAAATGTGTCTGATATAATGCAATCCAAGATCCTGTTCACTATCATCTGATGCCAGTACACCTTCTTCCATCTCTTTAAACACACATCTGCATGCAATATGTTGGATCTCCAACTCCATTCTTGCATGTTGCTACTCAGACTGTTGACAGTTAAAATGCACCAAAAAGGAAGTCTTGGCCTGCTTTGATACCTAACTGCTGGCTACAGTGAAACCCCCCCCCAAACCTGAATGTTGCTCCCAGAGGTTAATTGGACAATAGTTGATGGTTTGTCCCCAAAGATGGTATTTATTCTTTATCTTTTCATAAAGCAGATGCAGCCTAAGGGTTGGAGGTATACCTCACTAAGTGCTCCTGTAGCAGGTTCACAACAGTGTAATGGACGGTAGTAATTAAAAGAAACTTACCAGTAAATCCTCTTATAATCTTCAAACTGTACATCCAGTGAATGGTAGGGCTCGGCCTGGCCTTGACTAAGCATGAAAGTGTTGCATTTGCTCCCAGAGGTAAAGTGATGTTAGTCTCTGGGGAAGAGGCCTCTGGTTTCATGCAGGATTTCACTGGGATCTCATGGAAAAACTTGCCAGCTTTGGAGGCGGGGCCTGAGCACATCAGATAAGAGTTCATCAGAATGATGGGAGGGCTGACGCTCTTGATGAATTCAACAAAGCCCTTGAGTCTGCAGTCGCACAACCATGGGTTGTCGTGCAGTGCCAGAACAACATTCGACACCAGTCCTTCTTTCCCCCATGCTTTCTGTGCTGTCTCGTAAAGTGGCCAGTTATGGAAGACATCTTTTGATATCACGCTAAGCTGGTTGAAGGATAAATCTAAGTAGGTCAGGGCAAGTAAGTACCTCAGAGCTTGCTCAGGCAGGACGTCTAGTTGATTGTGCTTTAAGTCCAAAATCTTGAGTTTGGGTGTGTCTTGAAACGCTGTCCATGGCACAGTGGTCAACTTGTTCCCTTGTAGCCTGAGCTCTGTCAGGTTAGCCAGCCCCCCAAGACTTTTGATGTTCATCAGGGTGATCTCATTGAAATTCAGCCAGAGAAACTCCAAGGTACTAACTTTAGAGAAAGACCCTTGAGGTAACTCTGTCAAGTGGCAGTTTTCAATTCGTATTTTAGCAAAGTCTTGTGGGATGTCCTCTGGGATTTGTCTCAAGGAGGTTCCCATACATAGCAAAGACCTAGAATGGTCAGACAAGAGTTTCTTAAACAAGAGAAGCTAATGACAATGAATATAAAATATTATCTAAACAGCTATTTAAGTTAATGCACCATTTGCGAAATTGTAGTGGTCTGTTTTAACACTTAAAACAACACTGGTTGTGTTCAAAACAGGTAACAATTAGCAGTCACCCTATTTTTGAGTTTATGTAGGATCAATTGCCACTTACCTTCCCAGTTTATCATCTCTGCAGGAGCAACCGGTCACACAAGTTGAAGATACAGGAGTGATGAAACAAACTACAACAGCGATAGGTAATGTGACATGAAGGACGTCCATATTCCCAGAGGAGCTTTAGAGACAGGCCTGTGTGGGCAGGACAGGACCGCGGGCTGCGTGGAACAAAGCCTATTACCTTAATCCTCCTTGACGTAACTCCTGAGACACCAAGTGACATGTGAGACACACAAAGATAGGTGTATAAATAGCAATAGTCCACTTTGTCAACAACACAGAATGTTGCTCAAACACTACTCAGTGGGTAACCTTTCATTTTACTGAAAGAGTACCTTAATGTATGGGCCATAAATATTTTCCGTCAGTCTAATTTCATGTAATGTCCCCCAATAAAGCCCAACCATTGACATGACAGGAGGCCCATCTGTATTAAGTTGGCCGGATCCCTCCCTCTCTATGCTTAGCATCACAGAGAGAGAGCGCTGCAGAGAGACTGAGAGACAGATGTCTGGAGAGGACTGTAATCTGACCTCAATAATCCGAACCCTGTTTGACTCACAGGTTTAGTTTTTTAAAAGCAGAATCAGCGCAGAGACACAGCGTGAAAGCAGCTAACAATTACAGCTCTTTTGTTTAAATTTTTATATCTTCAACGTCCAAGCTCTTTATAGACGTAAACTCTTAATTAACAGGGAAAGAGTCAATCAGGTTTTCTGATATCAACACAACCTCTTAGCTATAATTCAAAAATAATTAGCATGTAATAAATTATGCCGGCAATTTCTATTGTTAATTCAGTGTCGCACACACTTTTTGATGTCGTTAATTTTTTGTTTTTGAAAAACTTGATTAAGGAAACATTTTTCTTCAGAGACAAAACCAAATTTCAGAGTAGTTGATTATGTTGATGCTTCAGTTGATGAGTGTTAGCATGCTATTATCGAGTGCTTAGTCATTTAAGAAAAGTGTAGCAGAGGCTAATTAAGATGCCAGTGCATCAGAAGAGTGCTTTTTACCAAATGTTATCGCAATGATCTGACTGTGGTTGATTTATAATCTTCAAGTAAGTGGTAAGCTAACCAAACAACAAAGCGACATTGCCAGGAGTAAACTCAGGCTGAATGCCATGCTGATGAAAACTGGTTTCACAATGATAGATGATACTAACTATACCAATGTTTATCATGTGTTACAAAGACTTAGTCTGCTCCCTCATGCACTTTCAGGTGTGTGTCCTTGATGCCAGCATGTACTTTTTGCACATTACCAATCACCAGTGGTGCAACCACTTTGTTATCAGGCGTTGTCATTTAACATAACTGGTATACAAGCAAAAATATTTTCGCTTGCTATTATTGTGAATTCAACAACAACAAAAAAATGTTCTTTGTAATTTCTCTTGATCCAGCACACGTCTGATACTTTGGTCAGCTTTTAGAGAATATTTAGAGTTGTAAATAATTAAAGACATAGCTTTGTGATACTATTTTGCAGTGAAGAATGAAGATTGAACTATTGTTTTGGAGTGTAAGAAGGAGCTTTGAGGGCGTAAATCAATATAAAAATATTTATTTATCATACAGTACATTCAGACACACACATTAAGTTCAGGTCAAAAATATTTACACATTGTGAATTTAACTGTATTGTAGGTTTCTGACCCAACAGTAAACCTGGCACGTTAACATCATACTGACATACAAAATAGACTACTAACTGAAGGTTCTTCTTTTTCTTTTTTCTAAATACGTTGTTTAGAATAAAGATTTTTACACAGTGCAGAGGTTACATCATGGAAAACAACAAAACTGATTGGGTATTTGAAAGAGTAGGGCACCATTTTCAGACATGTTCCTCTACTAATTATCGGCTGTAAAAGTGCATGGTGTATAAAAAAAAAGCTTATTGGTATCTCACTGCACGTAGAGATTGAAACTGTGTCAATGTGTTTATTTTCCCTTTTTTGTTACCCACCTATTGAAAGGTGTTTTTTAGTCCCACAAGGCTGTAAAATAATTCCATACATCCAATGCTGACAGAGCTGTCAGTTCCTCTAAAGACCCTCAAAAGAGGATCTTTACGTCTCCGAGGAGAGACGTGTACCTATTTACATCACAAGCTGATAGAAAACAAAGTGCATCCTCTGGATGTTGTGGCAAACGTTGGGTTTTAGCAGAAGTACTCATTGGGTGGCCCCTCAGTCCTAACTGTTGCTTCTGAGTCAACACTGGACCTCGCTGAGAGCAACCTGTTGGATTCATCAGGATTTAGCCTGGTCAGATACTCCCCCTCCATCCCTTTAGCTTTGCCCCCGGGGCCAAGGGTCTCAAATGTGACATAAGAGTCTTGAACTTCCTTGGACTGCTGCCCCAGCAGCTTTTTACAGCGCTTCTTTATGGCCCCACAACACACAATCAGGGTGAGAGGAACGGCGATCACACATGCCACCGTGATCACCACCACATTAATGAGCTTCTGGGTGCCACTGGCACTGGCCGCCTCGTCTGTTGAGAAGATTACACACTGCTCCTTTTTTGGGATCAGGCCTTTGACACAAACACAGGCAATGTACTTTGTCTTTGGTACAAGGCTGTCAATGGTGATCCGATTCTTTCCGGCGCTTACATTGATTCGGCGCATATCCCTCTCACCAAATACAGCATATAGGACACTGAATTCCGTTGTGTTTGTGGCTGTCGGGGCTCGCCAGTTCAGGGAGACAGTGTGATCGGTGTCACCAATCACCTTCACTGAACGCACAATCCTTTTCTCAGGAGCTTGCTGTAGAGAAGAGGCATTGGCTGCTAAGTTACTCAGACCATCCCTCTGGAAATCCAGTGGTTTCTGAGGGTCTGAACCCTTTCCTCGCCCTGGAGAGGCATCATCAGAGACACTGTAGCTCTCGATCTCATACTTCCCGGTGGCGCTTTTGCCGTTGAGAGGTTCAATGATGGGTTGCGCAGCAGTGGTGGTGGGTGGAGGAACATATCTGGCAATAAGTTTCTCTTGGTATGCTGCTCTTCCAATGCCACCAGGTTTCTTCCCTCTGGTTCGCTTAGAAACGCCACCAACACCACCACCACCACCAGCTTCTTCTGATCTAATAGAATCTGTGATCACCAAGGAGATGATGGCGTCTGCGGTGCCCACAAAGTTTGTTGCTTTGCACACGTATTTCCCAGAATCCCGGTACGAGACAGCAGGCACGCTGAGAATTGACCAAATGATGCCCTCCTTTGAAATCTCTTCCTGAACTGAAAGACAAAAAAGCAGGCATCCACAGAGTTAAGCAGATTGGCACCAAAAGAGTAACTTTAATCTCATTGACACTTCGACTTAAGTATAAATAGATACAGTTCTATCCTGGGCACATCTGGTATTAGTTCAGAACTCACCTGTGCCGTTCATTTTCTTTCCATCGGCACGACTCCAGGACAGCTCAGGGATGGGGACTCCAACTGTGCCGCAGCGCAGCAGGACATTGTTGCCCAAAGAGCTTCGAACACGAGCCACAGCGGTGTGTACCCGAGGGCCCTGGCACCTCTGCAGCTCCGCTTCTGTGAAAAGAACTCCTGATAAGCTCTCCGGATCAGCACACCTCAGCCTGGTGTCAATGAGAGCCACGGATGATGACGGAGATTTCTGAAACTGCACAAGATCGTACAGCCGGCAGTCACACAGCCATGGATTGTCATGAAGACCTGTGAACGAAACCAAGCGTGAACAAACGTGTTTAGAGAAGAAAATATCTAAGATAGATTTCAGTTCCACTGCTCCTATGACTCATTATGTTAACAAGAAGTGAGTCAAAATAAATAGAAGCAATCTGACAACCTGACACACAATAACTATAATTAGACTAATCCCTTAGTGCTTCTGGTGTAAAAGAACTGGCCGTCATGCAAGGAAGCTTAGAATAAAAGTGTTCCCGTTTCCTAATATGTCACAGCTTGATCCTCACCGAGAATTAGTTTGGAAGAATCACTGTCCTGCGATGGCTTCACACTCAGCCACATAGTGAGAACATCAGCAGGAATGGTGTTGAGGCTGTTGCTGGATAAGTCCAGATAGGTGATGTTCTTTATGTTCACGATGGCCTCTGCGGGGATGGTGGAGATCTTGTTGTTGTGGAGATCGAGGAGCCTCAGGTTTGGCATGTCAGTTAGAGACTCCCATGGGAAGGAGGTGAGGGAGTTGCCATCCAGCCGGAGCTCATCCAGGTTGTAAAGACCTCGGAAACTGTCCACATTCAACAGGTTCAGTGAATTAAAAGACATCCACAAGAACTCCAGGTTGTTGAGGTAGTGGAAGTTGTCACTTGAAATCCGTGTGATAGCTGTCTTTTCGATGCGTAGCTTTGATGTGTCGATGGGAAAATTTGGAGGAACCACAGTGATCTCTGGATCGTTGCAGAGAACACTCCTGACGGAAAAAAAAATCACAAATAGAAAACTTTTCAATATAAAGTATTTGCAAAACTGGTGTTGATAACAGACAAATGTTCATATTAACTGCCTCAATTTGTATACAAAATTATAAAGTTCAGCTTTTATTAAAGAAAAACGTAGCAGGGTTATTGTGCAGTAACAAGGAAAGAAGATTAAATGGCAACTCTAAGTTAATCCTCCACCATACAGAGGAACTGGACAGAAAGAGATGTAGTAAAAAAAAAAAAAAAAAAAAAAAAAAAAAACAATTTCGTCATGCAAGAAAAAAGAAAACACATTCACGTTTAATTATCGCAATATTTACCTTGCTTTTGATCCATCGCTTAGTTTGTGGAAGAAGCAGCTGCATTGTGCAGGGCAAGAACTGCTCAGCCCAGCAAGAAAAACTAACGCCAAACAAAAAGCAACAATACACTGTGGACTCATTTTTCCTCCTGCACGCTCCTAAACTCTATGCAGCTAAACTACTATTTAAAAAAAGTGGGCGCTACAGCTCGGTGTAACGGGGCATCGGATGCATGGTGGTGGTTTGCAGGCTCACTGCTCCATACTGCTTCGCCTGGTCTGAATCCTGAGATAAAAAGGATAGGCGGGGATTAGTGAGGGACTTGGGTTATTTTCATTCACACGATTAGGCTATTGCTTCCTGGGAGCTGATAGGCTACACAGATATCGCTTTTATTCTCAGGGAGTTCTTTTCCAATAGTTCATTGGAGGGTAAATAATGAAGGCGATAAAAATAAATCAATCAAGAGGAGGCAGCAGGAGGACACAACGGAATCCCTAAATCTACCTGCACGTGGAGAACAATCAGAATGACTGGCATTTATTTTGTTTTTGTTTTTGTTGAAGGGCTAGAAAATCTATGAATTCGAGATATTTTAATTTAATCTACTGACATTTTAATATACATATATATTTTTTAATTGCCTTAAGTACTTTAAATTCATACTGCGGCCCAATGTTGGAATAAGAATGATTCCGGCCATCTCAACAAAATAGCATTAAAACAAACACATTTAAATCCGATATGAAACTAAAAAGATGTTCTACAGTCTTAAAAAAAAAAAAAAAAAAGTCGTCGGCCTGTCCTTATATTACAGCATTATTAAAGTTGGTTGTAGAAAGTTTAATACATCGACAGACTTATTTACATGACGGTTGGGCAATTGCTGTAACTGACCGCAAGATGGCAGTGTGGAGTCGTAACTTGGATTAATTGTATTGTGTCTCTTGTCAAGGTAAAACTCGATAACACCACGTTATCCGTCTAGAAGATCATCGGGGTTCAATACCTTATAAAGCATCATGAAAGATTATCTCCATGTTTTCATTGATCGAATCGTGTAAGAATAATCTCCAATTTATTTATTTTTAAAAAGTACTGTGCTCTCTTTTTTCAGTCTGATTTTTATATTTTGTTGGTCTATCTGTCTGGGAGTGGCACCTTTAGTGAAGGACCAACATGCATTCACTGACTCTGCTTATTTCCACAGGTGCAGAGCTTTGAGGACACGACTGCCCGTCAGGATCAAATCCTTTAATCCATGTCTTTGTGTTTTAATATTACGTCTTTGTTCCATTTCTTTCAGGAGGTTTGTCTTGAATAAAGAACAGCCATGACCGGGGACAGACCTGTGTCTGACCTAGATATCCCTTTTCCCTTCTGGGATGACTATATAATAATGACATGTTTTGATTCATGATCTCATATTTTGAGAATATAGATGTACATACAAAAACACATTTTATCAGCTCATTTTTTTCGCATGCTAAATTCTAACATAAAAATGTACTTTACTCAAATGTGGTGGAGTTAAAAGTACATATTATTTTAAAAACGGTATAGCAGTGGAAGTATATGGTATAAAAAATACCAAAGGAAAAAGTCTCAGAGTTGTACTGTAGTGCAGTATTTCAGAAAGTGCCTACCTCACTGCTTTTAGTTGTGCTAACATACTAAATGCTCTTTTGGATTTAGCAATGTATCACAGAAATTGTCACATAATAATCACATTAAACCCATTTGTATCTCCTCCTGAATTATAGTGAAGTCGAAAACTCTCTCCTAGTGAAATTTATTTAAGAAAGTTCTACTTCTCATTTCTGCTGCTAACTATCACTTCATACTTCTGCACGACTTCACGCTGATTCAGTTTTGCATCTTTCTCCTGATCATTTCAGTCTGTGGAGACACATGCAATTCAACACTGAAACCTTTGTTTCATTGTGAAACGAGCAGATTAGGATGATGTAATTAACTGTTAGCCAATGTATTAATGTGCAACCACTGCTATGTTGCAAGCACTTTAAGAGAAAATATTACACACAGGGCGCCCTCATTCTGAAGCGAAGCTCTCCTATGATAGAGGATACAGCATGAAGATGAGATGATGTGTCTCTACTACCTTTATGCTCTATGGTGCATGCTTTTGATAAGGATGTAGCTTTGTGGTCCTTTGTCCCTTAATAATCTGAACAGAGGAGGCAGAAATTTGTTGCACAGTGGACTTAAGTTGTTATGAGTTCTTTAAACCAGATGTAACACACAATGCAAACCATCTATACAGAGATTACAAGTCCTGAATCCACTACATTCATGTTGTTAATCTACACTCAGCTGCTATAGATTAACAGATTGTTTTATTGAGTCTTTGCATTGTGTAGTTGGCACTCTGCTGCTTTATATTTAACACTGTGCCCTATGGGAAACAATTTAAAGCCCCCATGTTTGGATTTAAGAAAGCAGAGAAACGTTTTTTTAACCACAGATCAGAAACTCCAAGTCGTCCATTAATCCATGAGAAATCTACAGATCTGTTGAAACAAGTGACTCATGTCAGAGCAGCAGATTCCTTCTTTTTGGGCTGAGTATGAAGTAGACTGTAGCAGGACACATTGCACAAAATAATTCATTCAAAAAAATGTCAGGCTACTGCCGGTGCTAAATGTCACTTTTCTGCCATCAATGTTGTTTTTTTGTGAATTATTTTGGTCAACTGTGGAGGACAGATACATGTGTAAACAAGAGGATCTAATGCTTTACATACTTTTTTGCTGACCTTTTACTCCTTTGTGCCTTTAACACGTTTAGTATTTGGACAGTTTAAACTATGCATTTGCAACTTTGATGCAAAAGTTGAAGTTAGAAAATGCTGATCTATAAGTTAAAGTTGAGAATTAATGCAAACTTTGCAAAGACATTTTAAAGCTTTAAGATTTCTTGGTGGCTGCAGCTGAGTTTGGAGGCTATAAAGGTAAAAAAAATAATAATAATAATGTGCACTTGTTAGACAGTCCTACACAGCTTTTAAGTAAATTCAAGAAGACGGAATAAGTAATGGAGTGAAGAGATGTGTGTCCTGATTAACTGACTTGCTGCAGGTAGTTAAGGTAGTTGGAATTGAACAATGCAAGAATAGAAAGGAATGTCTCCACTATTTAGCATTTTGAATTTGAGACATGTAACGTACATATTGTATACCCTTTATTTTGCAGCTCCTGTCTTGTCAAGAAAATTCAACCCTATAGGCTAGTAACATGAATTTAATGCAGAATTTCACAAAGTTGAAAAGTAATTATCTTAGACGCGAATTAAATAATTCTTATGTGGCCCAAAGTATCAAATTTCCCTCAGGGAGCTTTACAAAACAATCTGTTCAACGTAACACCTTTGTTAGGATAAGGAAGAATTCCCAAAAACCTTTTAATGGGAAGATAAATTGAGATAACTTCCAAAGAGAACAACTGTAAACAGATTTCACGACATGCAGCCAATAATCACAGCATGGTCTCATTATTATTCACATCTCATGAACTATTCTTTATTTACAGTATATGGCACTTTTTAAAAAAACACAGTTACAAAGTGCTTTACATAATCACAGTGTAGAGCAGGTGGACGAGCACACAAAGGCCTACATAATACCAACATAAAACACATAAATAAGCATGCATTCAAATTATTTAACGATATATCAAGTAGCTTAAATATGAATTAAACTTATTGTTTTAAAAAGTCAACCTCTGAGCTGGGTCATTTTGCCCTGTGTATTATTTATTCCATGGTTAGGATTTGCATTCTGGAAACACCAAACAACACTTTTTTTTTTCAACTTTGAGTTATCCTCTCTTAAATTCAGCCGATCAATAAACAACATTTCCCATGTTCCCCCTCTGCTCCCTTATCAGTAACAGAAGTAGGCCTGTTGCTGCAGCTGCTGCTGAGAGCTGAATGGATGGGCTCAATAAAACATGTAGGCATATATTCTTTCGGTGGCAGCTCATAAGTTACCGACAAAAACAAAATCACATCCGGGCCTAGATATCGATCATCTGCATCAAATTGCTGCGCAGCGCAACTTTCGTCGACCCCCAAACGTGCAGGAAGTTTGCAGGAAGTGCGCTCATTAGGACATTCTTGGGGGGATTTTTAGAGGGGTTTACTAAGATTACGGTCTTTATGCGTTTTCACGTGAAAGAGCCTTTATAAGCGTCATTTTGGAGGAGTCCGTGGTTCGCCACACATCAGGGAAAAAGGACTTGTGTTTCAGAGTAAAGTTAAATTTTTAGCATTTCAACATGGCAGCGTATACATTACCGGAGGGATTCACGGATTTCGACATGTTTACATTCGGAACAGCGCTTCTTGTTGGAGGTAAGTGGAGCGTGCACTCTGGAAGTCATGTGTGCAACAGAATTAAAGGGACAGTAACCCCTTAAAACTGTTGTTTACATAATGAAATGATCGCTGGTTATAAAACCTTAGCATGCATCCTTTGTTTCCTACTTTTCAGTCTCATGTTAAAAGTTTAGTAAAGTGTATTATTTAATGAGAAAGTATGTGCTATGTGTAAAACTACACTTTTAATAGTATTACTGACATTGTTGCTATAAATCTATCTTATTCATTTTAGTTGTTGTTGCTCTGTTTGTCTTCTATCCTTCGTCTACATCTCCCTCTATCCCTCTTTCCAAGTTCAACACAGTCTTACCAGATGGCTGTTCAACATGAGTCCGGTTGTGCTTAAGGTTTCTGCCTGTTAAAAGGAAATGTTCCTTGCCACTGTAACTTTTCTAAATGATAATAATAATACTTTTGTTTGTAGAGCACTTTTCAAGACAGGTGTACAAAGTGCTTTACAGAAGCAAGTTAAAGAGACAATCACATTTGCAGACAACAGGAACAGAAAAATTCAGACATAGGCTACAGTTAAAACAGAACCACATAAAAATAAAAGAAGGTAACATTAAAACATAAATGTTGCTTAGTGCTATGCTCATGGTAGATTCATGTTGGGTCTTTGTAATATAGCAATAAGTGAGATCTTTTACCTGCTCTTTTGTTACATCACATTTACAAACTGCTTTTGCGTAAACGGTCTTGAGATAACATTAGTTCTGAATTGGCACGATACAAATAAAGATTGATTGATTGATCTTCTTTCATTTTCAGGAATGCTGGGATTCTTCCTCAATGTGATCAGCATCATGTCCTATCTCAGAGTAAAGGAGATGAGGACTCCCAGTAACTTCTTTGTGTTCAATCTCGCCATTGCCGACCTCAGTTT